GCTCTTCACACTTATCAGTACTGTTGCAAATGATAAAATTATGCCTTTCACACATAGCCATGATAAATTTGCCTGTTGGGTCGGTATAGCATTCTATCTTCTATGTACGCATTCATATCTCCTAGTATAATTATGTCGCACTCTCCTCCTATTCCTCAATGTCATTTGATATACACTCCACCAATGCCTGGTTTTCCTCTCTGGCTTTGCTCCCGTCCGCAAGTGCACCAAACCAAGGCGTGTCATCTGCCCAGTTAGTTTCCCTCTTAGCCATAAATGTTCCATGCATCCCTGCTTGACTCCTTGCCAACCGATACTTTTATGTATGAATGCACCAATTCCACCCCCCTTTTTGCTGCCTTCTGTTCTATTGCAATATTCCCATACGTAGTCCGGATTGCAAGTGGTTGCCCCATGTCCAGAAGATGTGTCTCCACACCCCACATACCATCAGCTCCTCCTGCCTTAACTGCTTTTCCATCTCTTCCCACTTTAACCTATTCCTGCCACCCTGCATGTTAATATAGTCTACGTCTGACTTAGCTCAGCCCTTGTGCTTACGTCGATTTCTTTTCCCACGGACTTCGTGTGGCTTGAATATTTATGCCCCTTCAGGTCGGTCTTTGGCTACACTGTTGGTCTCAGGGCTCTGGGTCCCCCTAAATAAGCTATGGCTTGGCGACTCATTCTGTTAACGGCCCTCCTGCCCGTTGCACCACTGTAGTGAATGCCATCCTGTGCAAAGGGGCGAGCGCCGGGCTCGTACACGTTTTGGTTAACTTTCATTATGCTGTATCCGAGTTGCCGGCTCAAACCCTTGATCACACAATTGGCCTCCACTACCCTCCTTCCAATCCCACGAGGCTGCCCCCAGACCTCTGGGACTGTGCATATGGCCACATGCACACTCCCAGAGGCTATTCGGAGCTTACGCATCCCATCCTCTAGCTTTCTCTGAAGGTTCTTATCCTTGCCCTTCAACACATCATTGAGCCCAGCATGAATAAAGACTAGATTTTCGCCCTCCATGCTCTTTTCTACAAACTCCTAAGCTTTGGCCAGCGCATCCACCATGCTCTTCCCTGACTGTGCCCCCACCCTGACTCTCCCAACTTAGTTCACTGTCTTGAAGACGCCATCCCTAAACCCTGGCCACGTTAGAGTCCCCCACCACTAGGACCCTTCTACGCTCCATCGCTGGCTTCCTGTTTGTGATGGTGCCCCTGTTTGCTTCACCTGTTTCTCTCTCAGCCATCTGTCCTGTGTTTCTGCCCTGCTCGAAGACGGCCGCGCCATTAAGCTGTAATGTTCTCGGAGCCTCCATGCTGTGGCCAGACACTGCGGCCCCCTGACCTCCCTTCTCGCCTGTTCCTTCCCGCCTGTCACCTTCTCCGCTACCCACGCCTTCGTCTCACACTGCTCGGGGCCGGGGGCAAAGCGCCATTAGCTCCTTTACCCGCTGCTCGAGCTCGGTGCAACCTTCCCGCTTTTTTTTCGAAGGTCGCCCTTCATTTGCTCTAATAGGCTGGCGGTAAGCTCTTCCCGCTCACGTGACGCTCCGAGCTGTTTTTGGAGTTTTATCCTCTGCTCCTGTTCCGCCCTAGGCTCCCCCTGAAGCCCCTCGATGCTAGCCTCCATGTACTGCACGGCCGCCTTCAGAGCCTCGCACAGCCTGCACACGAAGCTCGCCTTCTGCGCGTCGGCCAAACTCGAGAATTCTGTCTCGTCCAAGTAGCACCAGCGCTTGCATTCTTCGCACTGCACCAGCTCACTCTCGCCCGTGGTTTTCCTAGCCTCCTTAGCCATCGCCTGCCCGACCATCGAACCAAGCGCCCCGACAGGCCCTAAGGTCAACCCTAATCCCGCTATCCAGCCACCTCCGCTAACTCTCCTACCTCAACAATTGTTAGAAGCTGCCACCTACACTGCACACACATGTGTTCAATTTCGCTAGTAGACTCTCACTAGTCTTCTTCGTGTTCGGCTCTAGCTGCTATCTCGTTAAAAAACTCTGGAGACGGTCCTATATATTATATTATATATATACATATATATATATATATATATATATATAGTATATATATATATATATATATATATATATATATATATATATATATATAATAATGGTTCGTGACACGGTGCACTAATGACCGCGATTAAGGCCGGAACGGGCTCACATATTTCTGTTCAGTTGCTCAATTTTTATTTTAGGTAATACTTTTCTTTATTTCCCATTAGAATTTTTTGCTACAGCATTTACATAAGTAGAGTTACTGAAGTATTGCAAACATCGACTCCACAGCGAAATAGTTGAAACAGAACAAAACCGTGATCAAACTTCTCCACATTAATTCGTGTCCTTTTGAGGTTGCGTAAAGGAGCCAATCATGACCCAGAAATTCGATCGAAATCCAGCCTCATCGCGATCGAAAGTGACCCTGTGACACCCCTATCGCAAACGTGCCTTAACCGTCATCCAAGACAACAACCATACTTTTGGGAGCGCTTTGTCTGGGAAACGTCCACAGGCCCAGACTGTACTCCAAAATAACCAGCTCATTTTCACACAGCATCGGTCTAGAAAACAAAGACGTGAACGTCAGCTTTCAGTTTGTCCACACGCCCAAATGTCGAGAACGTATCGCCTCCTTTTTGGCATTGGACATACGAATGAAGCGAACGTGTGATGTACTGGATTGTTGTGCCGTCGGAACGACGAAAAGGAGTAAATGGATTTAAAAAAATATTTTATGGATCACTGTTGTCGCTTCGACGCTGCCACAGAAAACAAAGCTGGTCAACGCGGTTTTCTTTCTTTTTTTTCTGACTTCTAGCATAATACGTTATGTATGCGAACGGCTGCTTCGTCTACCTTTTTATTCACGACACGGACAGGCGAATGTAGCAGAACCTTTGTTTGCACCGGAAGCAACATACCACGTCATTGTTCACTGGTTATCGCAAAAACAGTGTGGTTTCTGAAAAGTGATGAAAAAAAAATGCTGTTTACGCCAGAACCAACAGGCAGAAACCGATTGGTTCGTTCACATTGCCGTTTACCACCAGAACCAACCGGCGGAAACCGGTCGGTTCTTTCACATTCCAGCAAAGTTTGCAGCACAACCAACATGTGACTGAAGTATACAGAGCAGCGATCGCGTAGCGTAAAAAAATACACACGGAGTTAGCGAGTCCAACAATGCAGGAATCATTAATCGATACGGCTGTGTTTCCACGTCTTTAGATGGTCTCCAGCCCAAAGATTCAACGATGCTTTTTTGAAGTTTCATGTCCATCCTAGGGCAAAACGACGTAAAACTTGCGTAACTTACGAAGTAACGACAAATGACGTGCACAAAATAAGCGGAGAAAGGAGCTTTGGCTAGTTGACAAAACTTCATGATGTTGCGCAAGTTTCCTGTTGGCTTATGCATCTCAGGATCATTTTATTATTCCATACGCTGCACCAGAACAGAATGGTGTTGTAAATACAGTTATAGTACACTGTGGTGTCAGACCACGAAAAAGCGGCCCAGCGGTTACAACACCGATGTTGTGTAGCTGGATGCCTTCCTGATGGTTATAAAATACAGCACTCTCCTAAACAAGACAGCAGGGCAAAAATGTACGGTGCAAGTATTTTTCCTGCGGTTATCTCACCCAGGAAAATTCATGGCAGATTTTTGTTTGATGCCAGGTATAAAATAACTCACCCAAATTAGGGTTTCCTGTCAGCGCTGCGAACAATTCAAGCTCACTGCCAGTGTCCTCAGGTGATGATGCATCGCCCTTATTTAGCCTGGAAATTGAGCTGGAATTTTCACTTGGCAGACAGTCTTCCTTGAACGCCTCATATGTTGTTTCGAGAAAGTTGATCTTGTTTATGGATAATGACCGCCTCACTGCATAACCACTTATGCGTTAATGCGCGTTGCTAAATACTGTGCATTTCTTGTATTGGACCATCTATTAGTCATGTTGGCTCTGACGACTTGCTGATGTTCCTTTTGCTTGGAATACTGTCTTAGCTACAGGGAAAGCCAAAACCAAGTTCTTTTCTTTGCCTGAAAGGCAAATCCTCTGACTATAAGTACTAGTCAGACAATTTGTTTGTTATCTATCCCAGTTCCTGCATTCTCGATCTCACTCTTAAAAGACATGTATCTTAAACGATACAAGCGGTCACGCTACCAGAAAATGACCAATGAGTTGAAGGGATCCAGCCATGAGCCCCGAGAAATGAAAACCATTGATGAAAACCTCGATAATGTATCAGTGGGCAAACATTGAAATAACACGCGTGAAATACATGAGACGCTAGGGCCACGACACTGCCCACTGAGCTATGCATCGGCGGGGCATACACCGCAGGCACGCGGACCGGCCCGTCACCAACTGTCCGGCTGGCGCGTCGGCTGCTCCTTTTGAACTGTACGATTGTGCCGCGCGCATCTCTGATGCGCAGCGCGTGTTCCAGTTGAAGTAGCCGTGAAATGGGCGTGATTCCCACGGAGTTAAAGAAGGCAAGTGCACGAGTCAGAAAAAAATCAATTGTCAGAGTCATTACCACGTATACCGTGCTATGTTACTGAAAAAAAAAGTGAACGTACAGATGCCTTCACCCCCGTGTTCTAGAACGTTCCTTCACTCAAGCTTAACCTTCACTCGAGAAAACCGATGGAAGTGCCATCTGTAGGTATGACAAGTCACTACATATCAGCAATAATCTGCTGCAATTCTTGAGTAGCACAACGTCATTTTTAACTGGGTAATGGCGCAGTGCTCGACTCTGTCAAGTGAAGGATGAAAGTCGAGTCAAGGAGTGTTTGTGAATACGGGAGTCAGTGTTCTAAAAAGTCAGGCTCACAACACAAAATCCTAGGCTAAAAGATTCACTTTACTCACACACTATTTTATGCTCGGCGCCAATGTATCTGCATTCGTGCAAAAAAAAAAAAAAAAGACGGGTACCCAAAAAAAGTTTTTTTTGGAAAAAAAAAAAACTTTTTTTGGGTACCCGTCTTTTTTTTTCTTCCATGGCAACAACTTGTGACCAGATATAGAGGGCTGCACTTGACGCCGAGTGTAGTGAAAGACGATAATTTCCCGTGGAGGCTTTGACATTGTGAGCATCCCACGTCGTACAGTGCCAGATATTTGCTGAGAGATTTGTATCCTTTGTTCGTACAGTTGTTCAGAGAGTTGTCGGTTACCGCGAACTGTCATGGCACACTCGAGTAACATCCCACCACTTTTCCGCCGTTGATGAATTCAATTCGTAGGTTGCTCTTCCCACCCTGCGAGTCCAAGATGTCACCAATTTCAACAACAGTAACGGGAAACTCACGAAATAAGCAGAAGGTAAAGAAATCTAGGAGATTCTGTTAATAACAGCGAAAAATTGGTATCGAAAATAACGTGACCATCGGTAACTCATATTACTTTCGACGCGGAAGTCCCTCAACTTTAGAACTTTAGTAAAATGTGAAGTGTTTTTTTTTTTAGTTCATCACCCTTCAGTAACCCCTTGTTCACATGTGCGAGCTGGAGTGGCTTCTCGCATGCATAGCTTCAATGGGTTACTGTCCTTACTGCTATAGCAAAGATATTTCGGGGTGAGGGCAAGTGGTTAAACAAAAACATTTAAATGACTTAGAGACAATCACTAATGTAGCGTACAGTTAGACCAAATGTTTAAACGCAGATGAGACGCGAAAAAATCCGTGCGCATAGTTAACATGCCACGTATTACGTGTACAGCTGCGCAGAATGGCGCCAACTAGTGTCTCGTGGAAATACCACTAGAATTTTCATATCACTCAGATTATCTTTTGGTTGCGTGGCTAAATTGTTTAACTAGAAAAAAATAGCTGAATTATTCATATTAAAAAACTTACCTCTGTTGTCAAGTAGAATGCTTGGTAACCGAAAACGTTCATCTGTGCATGATAGACACTTGGTCTGAATTCGCACGGATTGGTGGGTGGGCCCTTTGGATCGCGTCTCACCAGCGCACACATTTTGTAGCCCCTACAAGGACAGCGTTGTGCAGGTGATTTTACCATATCCATTGGATTCTGACACTTTTTCGAAGGAAGATGCAGACAAGAGAATGTAGACAGAAAACGCACTTGGGGCTACACCGGCACACCTACAGGCACATCCCAAAATGTAACACAATATATATCATGAAACAAACATACCGCAACCCGCTTTACGACTGATCCATCAGAAAGAAGAAAATAATTGGATCAGCCATCCTTTGTTCGATATAACAGAAAAATAGAAGCGCGAAAGGTGCTGACGGTATGCACTAGTGTATGTACAAGAGATGAAGTTCCTATGATAGAGTCCTTGTCATAGGAATTAACAGGCATTTATGCCTTGTTGTAAAAAAATAGTAGATAATGCGGGCTTGTTCTGTCTATTTGTCATTCCTGTTTGCTTTTTTTGTTTAAAACTGATTATGCATATACACAACTCGTCCAAATACTTGCAGTTATGAGACTTGTTCAACAAGGATGCATGTTCAATTATGTGGAAGTCATTTAGAGTGCGCCACTCTTATGGCGCGGGAAAAAAATGTTGCGGCGGACGGCACACTTGATACTCACGGTCGAGGGTATTCCAATGCCTCGCCAGCCACAGTTACGCGAAGTTCAGGATCCTCCAAATGTCCCCTCACAATGACGTCGAAGGAAAGCACTGCCTGTCCTCGGTCCATCTCGCTTTTGGCCGCTACGTTCTCAATCATGGCCGTTGCAGACCCTGCGGATCATTATGTTAAGCAAAAGTGTTCAACGATTTCGAGTACTTCGTACTCAACTATGGGAGAGCAGTGAGCCGTCCATATTACAGGTATGAAACGATACTGCTTCATAATACGTGTGTCTAGAAAAAAAAAAATGGTAACCCATTTCAACCACTCGGTACTCTACTATGGGAAACAATGAAGCCGTTCCGTGGGCCTCACACTTGATGGGGCCCTGTCGACGAAAATTCTGAAGGGACGAAGAAACTGCTTCACGTAGTCCCTCATATGAATATGAGGTCTGTTTGCCGCGCTATAGAGTTGCGGCCCGGATTCGGAAGTTTTTCTGACAGATTTCGGCAGCGTCAAACGGGAAATGTCCCACGAGGGTGAGTCTACAGAAATGCTGCTTTCAAAGATGTCCAACGCACATGGGCATTTGCATGCATCGTTTTCTGGTAATCTAAGCTATCTCAATACTGGGCTTGTTGACTCTTTTAATCATATGAATGTGTTCTTATATCTAGGTCACTTTTATCCTAGTAAAACTTGTTGGAGGATTAGTTGGTGCATGTTAAAGAAAATTATAGGACGCAAACCACCGGAAGAAAAGTGGAAACGGAAGAGCGCCCACTCACATCCCAAATTTATTCATGTCCAGCCACGGCAGCATCCCACACATGCGTAAGACACAGCACTACGTCACATCGCACAATTGGACACTCACACTGCCCATGCTCGGATTTCAGAAACCTATCAAACAATCGAATTCAGCTGACCGCAGTACTATCGACGTATCGCTAATACACATATATTTCTTCTTCCTGATGAGGTCTGCTTCTAGCATCTCTCGCTCAATCATGCCCTTGCTTCTACCTATAAGAATGATATTAGCAAATCTTGCCACACATCCACACGTGCTGCTGTGCATTATTCTTGATCGAAAGATCATGCTATCTTGCTCAGTCATTCACACATGGGCCGGTGTAAACCCTTTCACAGGAGAGCGACATTTCGTAAGCCACTCCCATAGCACAGGTGACGCAGGGCCTCGCATGCCTCTTACCGCAGGGGCCGGGCAAGGGTCCTCTTCAGATCTGTGGATACAGGCCCGACGGTTCTCTTGGCGCAGAAAACATGCCATTTACTTTATACGTATAGGCCGTCTTTTCAAGGTTGTATGCAACCTTATGGGCATACGGTACAGCTGTATACTGCACTTTCGTTTTTTCCAAAGCGCTTTTCCCCTTTAACCTTTTGAAGCAGGGGTTGAGCCCCTGCTGCAACAATCGAGCGAGGATGTCCGGCTGAGCGAGGATATTAAGCTGAATTTTTACAGAAATTTCGACAACATGCGAAGTGCCTGCCTTTTACGCAGGAGCTACCTCCTAACGAGAAAAATTGCGTTTTTAGACTTAAACCTAACTGTGACGAAGGAGCACATCTGCTGGGCCTTCTGGCCTTGTTCGTGCAAAGCACTCATGCCCTCTGATATAGCGCAATTCAAAGTAATTATTAGAGGTACTACATTTATGTGCTCTGAAGGCGCGTTGGATAAATCTTGCCCTCGTAGGATGCACGAAAGCTTTCACAACCATGTCGGTCGCCTATATTCAGCAGGGTACCCTCGCTCAGTTGTTGCGGCAGCGGCTCAATAGCTCCTTCAAGAGGAACTCGCTCACTGGATTCCGTGCCGACCAGTTGTGCCCTCGCGATCTCCGATGGCTGTGCCGCTCTGGCCGACTGGGTTGGTCCTACGCCACCTCCTGCCGCCGGTCCTCTACGACGACGACAGCGTAGCTCTGGCCGACTGGATTAACCCTACGTCATCTCCTGTCGCCGACAAGAGCTCTCGCCAGTGGTGCCCCATCCTCGGACTCCTGCGACCGTGTCTATCGTTCCTGTCTTCTCCATACTTCCGTCGCTCCCCGTCCCTGCGCCTCACTCTCTCCTTCCTGTCTATCTCTCTACCTTTTAATCCTATCCTTTTATTCCCTTCTCTACCCCCATCCCTCGTGAGCTACTGTTAAGGTGTCCTCCCCCTGAGAGGCAGTTACGGGGCTCACTTTTCTCCTCTTTTCGTTTAAAATCACTCCCCCCCCCTACTTCAAGAGGCTAAAGAGAAAAAGAAGGAATGTCAGCGGTTTGAAGAAAAGATCAGCAGTTGTCTTGTACACTCATAATGTTCCACACAACTTTGAAAAGGTGGCCAATAGGTACAAAGCACCTGTGTTATTTTCTGCCCCCCCCCCCCCCAAAAAAAAATTACGGCATATTCACGGGGTGAATGATGATGAATGGGCGAAGCTCCGGAGGGATTCATCGGTAAACTGTGAATCTTCCGTGTAATTCGCCCAGTCGATCATCATGTAAAGACGTGAGAAACGCTGTGTGTGTATATACACAAATCAACTTTTATTTGTTCTTAGACGATGGATGGCTTGCGATGTCCCTTGCCTCGCGCGCATCGCACATCGGGATTCTGTCTGCGAGCGCGCGCTGCTGCCGCCTTGCGCTCTCTCCGCTGTGCAGCCTTATCCATCCGGCGACTCCGAGCGCGCGCCAACAGCCAACGGATTTTATTACAACGCTCCCCCTAGCGTACGTCGCCGCACTAAATCGAACGATTGCCTTCAACCAATGACACGCGCCATATGTGACATCATTCCTATTTTATAAGATCTCGCGTCTTTCATCAACTACAAGTACCGCTTTCTAGTTTATAACATCTTGCATCTTTTCATCATCAGCTACAAGTACCACCATCTAGTGAACACTGCAAGAACTAAACTAGAGGTGGCTACGATGGATGGATGGATGGATGTGGCTGTACACTTTAGATCGGGCGGCGGCTAACGCCACCTAGCCGTAATACTTAGTGAACTAACCATTACATTTATCTTTTTTTTCCTTTAAATAATGAAGTTGAGGATTCGTACTTCGCAGTGAAGGGTTTAATTTTCACTCGTGCCTTGACTTTAGCCACCAATCAGATAACCTCCTTCTAGTTAAGTCTACCCGCTTAAAGTCTACTTTGCCCTCCCTGTCCCTAAATCCCAGTGCTTTGAAAAACTCTGCGCCATCATCCTGAACTATAGGGTGAAGCCCTTTACAGAACATTATCAAGTGTTCGGCAGTTTCTTCTTCCTCTCCACACGCACTGCATACTGTGTCGACCCCTTCGTATTTGGCCCGATATGTCTTGGTTCGCAGTACTCCCGTCCTGGCCTCAAACAGTAGAGAACCACCCCGAGTATTATCATAGATCCTTTCCTTGGCAATTTCCTGCTTAAAATTTCGATAGATCTCTAGTGCGGACTTCTTAATCGTGCCCATTCTCCACATGTCAGTCTCCGTTTCCTTCACTTTTTTCTTAACCGATAGCTCCTTTTGGTTTGGCCACCTGCTGTTTTCTAAGTATTTACCAGTCAACTTCCTGGTTCGCTTCCTCCATTTTGTATCGACATTCTTCATGTACAAGTAGCTGAAAACCTTCCTAGCCCAACGCTCTTCCCCCATTTCTCTCAATCGCTTCTCAAATTTTATCTTGCTGCTAGCTTCCCTGCCCTCAAATGATGTCCATCCCATATCACCTTGAACTCCCTGATTTGGTGTATTCCCATGAGCTCCTAAAGCAAGCCTACCTATTCCACGTTGCTTAATTTCTAATCTTGCTTGAACTTCTGATCTCATGCACAAGACCGCATTGCTGAACGTCAGCCCAGGAACCATGACCCCTTTCCATATTCCTCTCACAACATCATACCTATTGTAATTCCACAGTGCCCTATTTTTCACGACTGCTGCATTCCTGTTACCTTTAGTCGTCACGTATATTTCGTGTTCCCTCAGATACTCGGTCCCATTGCTTATCCATACGCCCAGATATTTGTATTTATCTGTTATCTCTAGCGTGACCTCCTGTATTCTAAGCTCACTACCTTCGTTGTCATTGAAAATCATGACTGCTGATTTTTCCCTACTGAATCTAAAATCTAACCTATCTCCCTCATTACCGCAGATGTCCTTCAATCTCTGCAAATCTTCCTTGTTGTTGGCCATCAGCACTATATCATCTGCGTACATTAATGCTGGTAGTGCCTGATCAATAAGTTTTCCTTGTTTGACTAAAGAGAGGTTGAAGCCCAGTCCACTTCCCTCTAATTTTGCCTCTAATCCTTGTAGGTACATCATGAATAATAAGGGTGACAGGGGGCACCCCTGCCTAAGCCCCCGTTTTACCTCTGCCGGCTTGGATACCTGTTTTTCCCACTTTATAACTACCTTGTTACCTTTATAGACACCCTTTAAAAGATTAGTGACTACATGTTCCACTCCTAGTGTGTCCAGTATTCCCCACAATTCCTCTGTAACCACGCTATCGTACGCTCCCTTGATATCCAAAAATGCTAGACACAGGGGTCTGTGTTCTTTTTCTGCTATTTCGATGCACTGCGTCAGTGAGAACAGATTGTCTTCCAACCTCCTGTGTTTCCGAAACCCATTCTGCAGTTCCCCCAGCACCCCCTCATCCTCTATCCACACCTGCAGTCTTTCCTTTATAATCTGCATCGCCAGCCTGTAGACCACTGATGTCACTGTTATAGGACGGTAGTTGTTTATGTCAGCTTTGTCCCCCTTTCCTTTATAGATCATGCTCATCCTGCTAAGTTTCCATCCATCGGGAACTTCACCATCGATTATTATTGTACTCACTGCCTCTCTCAAAGCCTGCTTAGACTTCGGACCTAATGTTTTTATCAGCCTAATTGGAATGCCATCTGGGCCTGTTGATGTACTACTAGGAACCCTTTTCTCAGCCCTTTCCCACTCTTGTTGTGAAAATGGAGCCATTGCACCACTTGATTCGTCTTTGTCTATTGTGGTGCATAAAGTACTTCTTTGTTGAAACTTTTCTGTCACCCTTGTTCTTATATATTCAATAGCTTCGTCCCCTTCTAGCCTAGCACCTTGGGCTGTAGTTATAAAGTTCTGCTCTAGGCTCGTCTCATTTCTTAGGGAGTTTAAATGGTTCCAAAATTTCGCAGCTGCCTTTCTATCTTTTTTATGTACTTCTGCCAGCCACTGAGCTCCCTTCCTTCTAATCTTTTCATTGATCAGAAGGGATGCACCCCTTCTACAGCTTAGAAAGGTTGCCCATTTTCTTTCCACATCATCTGTCGGTTCACCCCGCTGCTTAGCATGTCTGTGTTCCCTAGAGGCTTCCTGACGTTTTGCTATGGCTCTCTTAACTTCCTCATCCCACCAACTTTTGGGTTTGTGTCTTCTTTTCCGGGGTGACTTGTCACGCGTCTTAGCAAGCTCTATCTCAAAGAGTCTAATTAGATTCGTGTATGTTTCGAATTAGATTCGTGTATTCGTGTAGTCTAATTAGATTTGTGTACATACAGGGGACGGTACCGCCATCTAGCGAACACTGCAAGAACTAAACTAGAGGTGGCTACATACAGGCTACAGGGGACGCACAGCCCACGCCCTAAGGAGCTTCGCCCCTAAAAAACTGTCAGACCTCGGCCCACAGATCACAAGAGGATCCATGCCTGCCCCCTGTGGTAAGAGGCATGCGAGGCACTAGGCGACCTGTGCGATCGGAATGGTTAACGAAATTCCACTATCCCATGGAAAGGTTTTCATCGGCCAGACCGGCCGATGTGCACCCAATAGAGCGAGAGATCGTGATCTTTCGACCAAAAATAATCTTTTGGCACTTTTGCCTATGCACTGCAGCACGTGTGTATGTGTGGTAATATTTGCGAATACCACCATTATAGGTAGGAGCAAGGAGGTGATTGAGCGAGGTATACTAGAAGCATGCCTCATCAGGATGAAGAAAAATACGTGTATTGGCGATACGTCGATGGTACTGCGGTCAGCCAAATGTGATATTTTTATACGTTTCCGACATAGCAATCCACTATTCTACCTGCGCATGCACGCAGAGCCTTCAACGACATTAATCACTGGCGTATCCGACTGTGCGATGGTGTGTGTCACGCATCTGTGGCGTGGTGCACATACTGCGGTGGTTTGGCACGGATAAATTTAATCGCCAGGGGACGCTCTTTCATTTCGCCTTTTCTTCCACGGCGGTTTGCATCGTATAATTTTCACTTGTTTATATTGCCACGTTCAACTGTTGCCTATATGTGAACACGAAACTGTTACCTGCACCCACCGAAGTGCTGCGCTGCTAAGCTTCGAAACGAAGTTCCAATTTCCAGCATCTTTGGGGCTGCGTTTCTGCGAACTAGACAGAACTGCTTCTTTTGCGTACATCGCCACCGCCCCCGGCATCTGTAGCTTATAACAAGGTTCGCTTGAATGGTTCCTTCCAAGTTAAGCGGAATCCCTGAACGCTTAAAATCTATGAAAGATTCAGCTACGCACTCACCTGAGCATGGTTTCAGAGGATAGCGTTTGACGGTCGACACCGCTAAGCAGGAAGAAAACAGTGCAGCGATCAGGCCCAGAGCTCTCATCGTCTACGTGTTTCATGTGCGATGGAACGAAGGCTGAACGTAGGCCATGAGAACAGCGTGGCTGATAAAACTAGGTTGGAATGCAGCGGGGTAGGTGGCAGTCAAGCAGGTGCTGCTGCAGCAGGTGTTCGTGCTTATTGTTTATCGCTGCTTTGCGTAACTGAAGCCGGAGTACGCGGAGTAGGTTCGCCTGTACCCTGGCTACACCTCGCCAAAAAAAAAAAGCACACATGAGGCGTATAAGTACGCAGAAAATATAAATGATGAAAAGCAATGCAGCATTCGCAGGAAGAGATCGGTGGAGCTTCGTGAAAGAACTGTTAACCAGTCGCAGATCAGATCGATCACTGCGATCAAGTACAACTTACAGCAGTAACAAAACAAAAAAGTAGCCAGTTATGTGCCTTGTACTGCGAATGTGCAAGAGTACTGATGATGAGGATGACTTTCATTGAGAAAGTCATCATAATGATCAATTTTATGAGCGTCATCAGAATCATTTATCAGTGTCTAATGTTACGTTTGTTTGAAGAAAAGCATCGCTGTCATTTTGTCTTATGTTATTTTTTTATTTACTCTCCCTACGATCACTTAGCCAGCGTGATGCCTACTGCCACCGCAAGCACTACTACTAATACTACTACTACTACTACTACTTCCATCTTATCAAAGGTCGTCGCGCAAGCTCTGGAATAATCTTGTTTTACGAAGCCTTAGATGTCATGTTTCTTTATCGTCTTCTGTAACTATGGTAACTATGACTCGAAGCGAAGAATGGAGAAGTGATCCGAGATTGTCTTCGTGAAATTTGATTCTTGTGCTGCCGTAAATACTGAATGTGCGTCTAGCGTCGCCATGCTTGTCATCACGTTTGTGGTAAACGTCCATGTTTCATTATGCGTCTTGTTTCATCGAAATAAAAGCGCGTAGCGCACATGGTGTTGAGCAGTGGGGGTCATTTCATACGTTGCCGTTGTGTTAATGCCAAGGTGATGCACGCGGCTAAAGTAGAGGCGACTAAAAGTTGTCGCAGTTTTTTTTTCTTGCTTCGACAACTTGCACATTATGTTGTTGCTATGACCCAGTCAGCCCGTGAATAATCAACTTTTTCCAAGCGGGACCCAGTTTTGCTTAAACAGGAGCAGCTACATCCTAGGAATGTGTGTGCGTATGTGTGTGTGCGTATGTGTGTGTGCAATGCGTGTGTGCAAATGTGTGTGTGTGTGTGTGATGTGTGTGTGTACGAATGTGTGTCTGAGCAAGCGAGAGGGCTTTCGCTCTCCAGTGAATGCGAGTGAATTGTGTGCCAGACTTCGTTTTTGCAGGTGTGTGCAATGCATCTTTGATGTGTGTTTTTTTTTCACGGGACCCTAACTTGATACAAACGAGTTATCACTACGTAATACGTGCCCGCAATACAGCGAGAAAAAACACTTTAGGCAAAGTTAAGTGTTCCTAAAAAAGTATCGTTGAGTATGATAAGTGTCTTGAAAAACGAAACATTTTTTTGTTCCGCTCAATAATAGCTTTAGCTGCGTCGCTTCAGTAACAATCAAGATCGATGCAACTAGTCGTGATTGATCGTGATCGCGGTGTTACATAACACGCGTCATTTTGTGGTCTGAAGAACCTCGTGCGTTTTTTTATACAAGGTGTTCATGTACCAAGCGTAAGAGAAGCGCTTAGGCAATGTGGACTTCAACCTGACACACAATTCTGAGCCGGTAGAAATCAATTCCGTTAACATGATGCAGATGCGCTTACATACACATGTCTAATTAGTCACACACACACACCAGATGAACAAAATTCACTTTAAAACGTATACAACATTGCACATTTTCCACGTCTGGTTTGCTTACTTTCGTACTGTGTTATGCTAGCAGATTCTGTTGATTGCTTTTCTATCACGCCTCGTCTGCATCGCACTTACATCATTCATAAGGGCGCACAGCACAGCGCATATCACAAAATCTCACCACTATTCCCACGTTGGGACACCTAAGTAGCACACTCCCACACGAACATGTGGCAACGTTGATGACATAGCTTTTGTGAAAGGTACATCACAGACGAGCACATTCCTCAAAACACTGACGCACACAATCTACAAAACATATACGCACACACTTAGACTTCACGTACCCCTTACATTTCCGATGGAGGCGGAAATGTTGTAGGCCCGTGTGCTCAGATTTGGGTGCACGTTAAAGAACCCCAGGTGGTCGAAATTTCCGGAGCCCTCCACTACGGCGTCTCTCATAATCATATAGTGGTTTTGGGACGTAAAACCCCACATATCAATCAATCATTCAATCACGTACCCCTTACTGCCCATGAATGGCTGCGACAAGAATCGCCGAAAGTGGTCAACCACAGGCGATATGCTTGGTGCATGCGAGCGACGCAGAGGATACACGCCGTGTTGCTGCTTCGCGTTGCCGAAACGAAGGAACGCGATAAGGCTCTGCCGCTTCAGTGCACTTCAAGCGCTGCGAAGTCAGAAACACCATGGAATTAATGACGGCCGGCGAGGATGATGCTGAGTGCAAGTGGATGAAATAGCTTCTTCTAGATGAAGAAAGCAGCACAGGAAAACTGAATGGACGCCTGCCTGTTTCCATGGAGTGGTACATAACCTCTAGTCGATAACGGCGTCGTGCTGAATTTGCCATTCGCTAATCTTGACTGTTACGTCATAGTAAAAAGTGACCTCCGTTGTTTGCGCATAAAACAAATGGACAGCGCTGCACTTTACCATATTACTCTTTATTCATAGCTTGTCACCAACTATATATTGTATCGCAACGGCACTCCGCATTCGCTTGTTTACCTGCCTACGCAAAAGGTAGGTGGGTAAATAATATATTGATTCACATGGATATTACATAGCATTTTCTGGAAATCAATTAGCCGATGGTGCAGCCAACTCAGCCCATGACGGGACGAGTGCATTCCCTATTCTTCTATCAAGGACTGATGCGGCAAGACAGCTTCACTTGCTGGCTCGAGATCCCACACGCACGTTTTGGTCGCATACCAGCTTCCAAAAGTGTCACTTATATCAACTGGATCCTTCGCTCAAACAACAGCTACCATCACAACTTTCTCGCTTCCATGCAACACTTATGCCCCCTTTGGTTGGGTGTTGCATTCAAAAAGGCATACTCCTTTCGCATCGGTATGGTAGATACCTATACATGCAACTTCTGTGGAGCTGAAGAGGCCATCCAACATGTCCTGTGCAGCTGCGTTTGCTACGACACCCAGCGATGCCAGCTCCGGATGGTTTTGAACCAACTGGACTCCAGACCATTCTCTGTGCAAAAGATTATGGGACCTTAGGCATGTGCCCCAATAGCACAGAAAACGACTAAAGCGCTACTACTGCACTTCAACACAACAAACCTGAGCGACCCCCTGTAAACTTTATGTGCTCCGACGAGTGTGCTTGTGATTGTGTGCATCTTTCTTCCCTCCGTCCTATATCTTTTCTCCCCTTCATCCCTTCCCTCAGTGTCGGGAGAAAAACAAGGCAGGTCGATGAAGGGCGGCGGGGTCACTCGGGATGGCCGGACACTTTTGGGCTCGGGCAGACCCTTCGGCACGGCCCGTCGCCCGAAGCTGCAGTTCTGATGGTGAGCTGCGCAGAGCGGCCTCTCATCACTCTTTGTCTTCCGACCTTGGGCACGGAGACTTGGGTTTGTCCTATCAATTTAAAAAGATGCGGTTAAAATTGGCCTTCGTGCAAGGGCACAAAATGCTGTGAGGATAGGTTTCACCGTGAGTTATAATGAAGTGAAGGAAAGTAGTTGTGCCCCTGGGACCATATCAAGTTGTCGCCACAACACCTGGTCACTTCTGGTAAGCGTTTATACAACCGGAAGGAGGGGGTAGAGTTGTTACGTTAGAAGAGCATTTCTGTTAAACCATGTGATTCCGTGGTCGCTGGGGAGTCGATCCCTGGTCTTGCTAAGCGGAGGTAGGTCGCTTCCAGGCTGGTTGACTAGTGCTCAAGCTTGGGTGCGAGTGGCCGTATGGCCTGGATGTCCCCAGCGTCCACTTACACAAATGAGTGAGATGTGAAATACCCGATGGTTCCCTAAACTGATGCGGATTGATTGATTGATTGATATGTGGGGTTTAACGTCCCAAAATCACCATATGAATATGAGAGACACCGTAGTGGAGGGCTCCGGAAATTTTGACCACCAGGGGTTCTTTAACGTGCGCCCAAATCTGAGCACACGGGCCTACAACGTTTCCGCCTCCATCGGAAACGCAGCCGCCGCAGCCGGGATTTGATCCCGCGACCTGCGGGTCAGCAGCCGAGTACCTTAGCCCCTAGACCATCGCGGCGGGGCTCCCTAAATTGATGCTCTCTAAAATGCAGTGTACCACTCCGGTACTGCATTAGCAGGTCTGTTGGGTCCTTTAGCTAATGTTGTAAAACTTTATCACTCATTAGTTTCACCTCGGGTAGAATTGGATTGCCGGTATCGGCAATGACGTTGGAAACGTTCTGACTAGTCGACAGTGCTCCGTTTTTTGTGTGTACTATTTGTGCTGGTTTTCGAAAAAACAAAACAGCATTTCCTTAAATTTCCCCTTAAGGGGTATTACATAGGGTTTGTGCTTCTCAAAACGATATCCGAGTGTTTCTAACAGTTTCAGAAAATATAGATTAGCCAATGACGGCAAAAATGGCCTGAGGAAGGCCGTTACAGACTTTTATTGCGCGTAAAAAAAAGGAGGCGCTGCTTGAACTAAAGGCTTCGTCTCTGCTGGAAAAAAAAATAGTTGCATTGTACAGGCCTTTAAGTGGATAGAGAGATATGACACTCATATCCTGGAATGTATTGCAGCACGCAGGGACTGCGGACACGTAAGCATCCTCTTTATTGCGTGCTTCAGTAGCGTCAAAAATCATTCGGATATGTAGTAGCTGCAGTCGCCATGCTCATGATTTATCACGCAGCTGCGCAGTGTTGCTCAACACTGTGACGCTTGTACTTCAGCGATCGTGGCTTAGTGAATCAAGATGTGACACAGCTATTGTAAGCAAGTGATTTGTGGGCTCGCGGTATGCTGGGCTTCCACCGCTGATTTAATCATATGTCAACAAAAACGTCACTGTAACAGCTATAAAACTAAACTACGGGGTCGTGGTACCTGTGGGGCACAAAGGTTCACTTATTCTTCCACGTCAACAGTGAAGTATACGCAATCGACAATTTCCCCTCCGTTTTCAATGATGAACGTGACCACGACGCGGCCGTCCTGAAAAGAAACGGCAAAGAAAGAAATAAGCGGGACTGGGTTTTTTATAGGTCACTTTGGGAACAGTCATGTATTCAGTGTATGAGGAACGTATTTCTTCGTACCTTACAAATCTCTCTAAATGCGCCATGGCGCAGCTTTAGCACTGCCATCATGTCGCAGATATAGTTACTGTATATGCTACCTTTAGGTAGCATATGCTACCTAAAGGTAGCATAAGCTACCTTTAGGTACGCTCTTTAAAGGTAGCATACCTAAAGGCGCTACCTAGAGGGAGCGTAGTCGTAGAACGCCATCCATTGTCTTGTCCCTCTCCGCACCTTTGTTGGCGGGGCAGGGGGAAAAATCGGAAGGTCGTTCTTTGACAAGCTGGCAGCGCCGCAGCTGCACCGTGTCGAATTTATAGTTCACCCCACAGGTAAACACACAATCTTCAATTCGCTTGAGAGGGTGTTAAAAATAAGGAGACTGAAATCGGTAAAACCTTGGATAATTATTTCACTTTTCAGCAACAACCATAAGCTATTAAAGTAGAGAATTTAAGTGAATGAACAAGTAAGCGGATATACGCAGAGGATTGCAACGAAAAACGAAATTGGTTAAGAAATAACGACGTGCTTTCACCCGCCGGGATCGCAACATAGCAACAGCCACAAAAACTAAAAATAAGCACACGGTCACCAGATCTCGAGGCACATACGTGTCGCGCCATCTCTCGGTGGCGGCTGAGCACCCCGCCCGTCATAACTGTATAAGAAGCACACAAACACACTCACAAAATATAACACACGAACGAAATAAGATATTGGAAACCACCCTCGACCGGTTTCAGATACTAGGGAACTACTATAGTCGGGTACATCTTTAGAAGACTGGAGAGGCAATTTGCTCGGCAACTAAAAAAAAAGAAATAGTACCGCACAAAAAACTGTGACTCCTTCCAGAACGCGTATTTGTCGGTATAAATAAGTTTGGTGTACCGTGACGAGTGCTTTGGTGAAACTGTATTGATTGAAATGCTACAGCACATGCCGGAAACTTTTAGGTTATGTTGTAGTATCCGGTGCCAGCTTTTAACTACATCAATGCCCCCGATTCTCGATCATGTGTAAGAACAATGATGAAGTGAGCCCCAGTCGTTATAAGGAAACAAGTGCCGGCTCAAAAGAGAAACAGCCAGTGAAGATAATAACACGAACAAAATGCTCCCACACAATATAAATGTTCGCCAACATATCAAAGTCAATCATTCTGCAATATCAAATTGTCTATTTAATGCCGTAGTCTCGTGGCAACGTTTATACTTGTACAAATACAAACAAGAAAGGAGTGGTAAAATAGAGGGAGCGAATTTCTAGGACTGCATTGAAAGTTGGCTGGGAGGACGCAGAGATGAACGAAAATCGAGAGAAGGTTTTCAGTCTGCCGTGAACATTTATTGGGCACGTCAAGAACGAAGTGAAATTGTAATAAAACACGAAATTCGCTGATAACTTATTGGGATTCTTCCTATGCGCGTTGCGCGAGAACTCATTAACCGCGCCTCACTAGGAGAGAGGTGGAGCTCTTGACCAATGAGTTGCATCGAAAGGGTAAGGCTACATACACCCTCTTATTCAGTGAAATTACTTACAAAAGCAGATTTAGACAGTCCATACACTGTGTAAATACACTTTTAAGGGATAACCCAATTTCATACAAACTCGACGTGTCTGTATTCACCTCCTAGGGCAAAACTGGACACGTCTCTGGTGATGGTGAGGAAGTGCATTAAAACTAGGACTTACACGAACACCGTTGATTTTAAACGCATGTTTCCGAAATTGTACACTATGGTAAAGTGTGAAATTCTGCGACGACAGTGTAGCCCCGCTAGAGCAGATACTTAGTTCCTCACTAAGTTATCGCGCATACCTTAGAGGCCGAGCACATAACTGCACAGACACAAGTGCAATCTTTCAACGGAATCTAACGAGTGAAAAAAAATAATTTGGTAGGTAATCATGTACAACGTATTTCGAATAATCATTGACATGTACACGTCTAATTTTGGGCACAGCACCACACATGCTCGCGTGGTCACCTTAACGAGAAATTGTGCCACAAATTTAAATTAACAAACCACAACAAACTACCGATCCGTGCACGTTTCTGCAGCATGAATGGTTTCTGGAATTACGTTTTTCGGTTTGTCGTTGCTTTTGTTTATCGAAATGTGTGATCGCCTCCGATGTTAAAGTGACCAGACGAGTAGGAGTGGTGCTGTGTCTGAGATTTGACGCGTGCATTTCGATAAATGATTCAATATGCGTTCTGCATGCCCGTGTACGAATTCGTAATTACCTCACTCCTCAAATCCAGTCGAACGTTCGCACTTGTGTCTGTGCAGTTCTCACCTTGTCCTCTACGTAGTGCACAATAACGTAACAATGAATAGATACCACGAGAAAGATAAAGAGATAATAAAATGAGACAGAGGCAGGGAGGTCCACAAGAAGTGTTGAATCTGGTTTGCCACCCTGCACCAATGCGAGCGGGAAAGGAAAAAAAGAGATGGAAAGGAAAGCTGAGAGAAAAGCAGGAGCACGAAAAAAACTAAAAGATACAGAGAAAAAGAGGATGTCGCTCGGAAGTATAGTAGCCTACTCAAGAGGCCAATACCGTACGCACATGTTCATTCAACAAGGTATTTATTAATCTCTCCTGCGAAGACAGTTCGGGAGGGCCTTCCAGCACTGACAGTTAGCGAAGGCAGCTACGAAGAACGCGGTCTCTAGATTCATCGCTGCCGCACTGGTTTCAGGAAGCACTTTTTTCCGTAAATAGACACCCATGAGCACAAACAAGTAGCCTCCTAGTTATGTACTGATGCCACGAAATAGTTGATTTGATTGATATGTGGGGTTTAACTTCCCAAAACCCCCATATGATTATGAGAGACGCCGCAGTGGAGAGCTCCGGAATTTTGGACCACCTGGAGTTCTTTAACGTGCACCCAAATCTGAGCACACAGGTCTACAACATTTCCGCCTCCATCGGAAATTCAGCCGCCGTAGCGTGGACTTTATCCGGCGACCTGCAGGTCAGCAGTCGAGTACCTTAGCCACTAGACCACCGCTGCGGGGCTGCCACGAAATAGTTTACAAGAGAATCGCATGCCTCCTGGATGAAATTAGGCACCATAAAGAGGCGGGGTGGAGAACCACCATCACTGGCTCTTCTCTTTAGGACCAACATTTGCGATCCCTTGAGGAGCAAAACGGACTTTAGTAAATCTTATTGTTGGGCTGGTTGGTGCACGTTACAAGAAAATTAGACGACCCAAACCACCGCGGAAGAATAGGCGAAAGGAAAGAGGGTCAGCTCGCTACTAAATTTATTCTAGAAAAACGACCGCCATATATGCACTATGCTACAGATGCGTGAAGCACACCATTACGTCATATCGTGCAATCGGACACTAACACTGCATGTCATATTTCAGAAACTTAACATAGTAATAAAATTTTCCACTTGATGGGGCATTCAAGACTATCACCCCAATAAATTCGTCTCAGTCACTCACCCCTATGAACTCCTCGGAACTTTCCATGTCGAGCAGGCGCACAGAAACGCGAGTGGTGTAGTCGCCGGCTGGAATAGGACACTTGTTGTGCCACTCTCGGCTGAGTTGGAGTTCGTCGATTTTGGTGCCTTCGCATAACTTCAGTTCGCTGCAGATTAAAGACATATAGAAGTGGTTACTAAAATTTGGTGACGCAATGTACATATTCTGCGCGTTTTAATGAATGCTTGTATCGTAACGAACTGCCCACATAAACCTTGCCGATTTTGAACATTCATAATACCTGAAGTAGGCAAACTAGATGCTTCGAAGCATTAGGCCTGCTAGAATGGCTTCTTTAGCCTACTTGATTACAAAGAAAAGCAGTAGAGAAACCGAACCTCGAGTTAAAGGACTCGTTCATCTCAGTTACCTCCACTTATAATGGCGTGATGTTTTGGATGACATTTGAAATAAACCAATGAATCACCCATTACTTATAATAAAGAAAAATAGGCTTGTTTTTTTTTTGCCCGTCTCCTGTGCTCTGACCCTGTTTCCTTTGCCATAGTATTCTGTCATTTGCTAATTGAACGGTGCTGACTGAAGGGCTGGTAGGGGTAGCCACAAAAGAACGCCTTAAATGCTGGACAGCACGAATTCAACACGGCAGAGAAAGAACGTTGACACACACGAGTGCTGTTAAGAGCACAGATGCACCAGACAAGCGCTGTTAAAAAGACCAATGCGTGGGACAAGCGCTTTCTGGTGTACGCCGATAGGTGGGACAGGCGCTATATATGTAGAGTCTACGCATAGGGGTGCACATGAGAAGGTTGTAGCGGGCGCGTTCGAGCCAGGGCGGCCTGGGGCAGAGGCCGAAGCCCTAGGGCAGCAGTAATGAGACGCACGTTCTGCGCTCCCTACAGAAGTTACCCCGATTATTGGTGCAACATCCTTTATCTGCACAGGGCTTCCAATAAGCTACACAGCTGGAGTGACGTATGTCATGCGCCCTTTACAGAGGGCAGTCCCTTCCCTCCACAAACAGGGACCAAATTCAACCACGTGCCTTTACTAAGTTTTCGCGTATTTTTCAATGCGTAAGGCTATGAAAAAGCGTTGTCTCATGATAATGGCGACCAAGGACTCCCGACGTTAAATTCGAAGAACTGCTTACTGCACACATTCACTACCGGAAAGCCAGTGACTAAAAGCAGCAGGCTATTGTGAGTGACATGTCACCGTTTGATTTTTCTATTCGCGTTCATTTCAGAGCTCGTTTTCTTTCGGACTCGGCCAACGGGGGGTTGGGGCCCTGTAGTACAACTTTCTCTCCCCCCCACACACAGAGAGAACCCTGCGCACGTCTGTGTGTAAACACGTAGGGAAGGCTTTCATAATAATTATTACTTGCGAGTGTCAGAGCCTGAGACAAGTAACTCAGCCACGAATTTGTTTAAGTAGAAGAGCATGTTCTCACCAGTGCGATATGTAATCGGGGCACCGGAGCTCCGTGCCGTCCGGCCGTGCGAAAGACACGTAGAGTACGGGGTCAGCGTCCAGTGGTTCCGTTATCTTAAAAGCAGTGTCGATGGTCATCTTCTCGCCAAGCTTCGCATTTCGGATGTTGACATTGGTGACTTGAACTGTCGGATCTTGCTCGCCTGTCATGACATCAGTGTGATTATCGCAAAGTGCGGACCAAGCGCGTCAGCCTGGCCAATGCTTGGTTGACACGAAAGCGCAAATCATCCTTAACGTAAAGAATTTCTCCGAAAGACCTGTATATGCACACGCGCTCTTGTCCATCAGGATTGGGACTACTGCTACATCTCGGCTCGATAGCATGGTGTTTAAACACTCACAGGGCCCTGACCCATTCACTTGAGACGACTCGAAGGCCCAAACTATTATCTCGCTGCTCACAGCCGACGCATTGAACCTGTCCAGCTACCTTCGACTGCTTTCTGCACCTAACGTAGTTTTGTACTGCCTCCAAGATCAGAAGCACATCACCTGTTTTCGCATTACCTCCACGTTTGACCGAGCTATGGCGCGATGTTATGGCGCCATCTTGCGATGCTAGATCAGGACGACGACTTCATAACGACGTAACAAAAGGACATTACCGGGACATCACAAGATAAACGTTGAGATTACGTTTTTTTTTCACATAACTTGTGCCCGACGCCGCCAACTCGGGACGCCGACGTTCAGATTTCGTGCTTGATGAGGCATCTAATGCTCTAACCTGAACTGTGATTTGTCGGTGTAGCTAGAGAGCAACGCAATGTGCCTAACGCGGACGCTCAAGTGAGTAGATTAGGTGCACATGGTACATATTCTGAGACACTTGGTACAGTGAGTGAATGCGGGTGCACCACGCAATTCGCATTTTATTCTAATGTAACGGCTTACAGGTTTTGTCCGCAAGAAAACCCGCTATTCGACCAGAAACTATGTTAGACCAGAGAAACTCACCTTCCGAAAGTACTAGAGGCTGTACGATAAGATGCGCGTAGTACACTTTTAATCTGCAAGGCGCCGAAGGCGTTGAATGGGCTTTTTAATTAAGCCTTTGAATAAAACTATTTTGTACGCTCACAAAAGTTCTCCAAACAGAGAACCTCAGACGTTTTTTTTTGGGGGGGGGGGGGGGAAGGGGGAGCGTATTGAAAAAAAGTAGCCTTCACCTTGTGCAGGCTGCTTCAGAACGTTAGTTCAGCCTCTACGCTAGCCAGAAGTCGCTATTGTCCTGCTCGTGTTAAAAATTACACCGAAAGAAAGCCAATTCAAAACGTTCACGACTAATTTCTATATAAAACGGGGCAATCTTGTCGAATGAACAAGTATACGTTCCTCAGACAGGCGGGCCACCATTATCTTTGCCAAAGACCGAACGATGAACACATGATTATCTGAAATTGCGAACTTCTTTCTACGAGTTGTTCATAGTAAGCATACGCCGTAAATGTCACCCGATACCCTTCTGCTGTGAAGAATGATTTGAAGTGGCTCTCATGAATACATTTAGAGCCATCTACGTTGCGTAATAAACAAAAAAAAGGGGGGGCTCGCTCCCTGGGTTTCGTACCGACCGGTTGTGCCCCCACGATCTCCGACGACAGCGCAGCTCTGTCGGACCAACTGGGCTCGCCCTACGCCATCTCCTGACGCCGACAAAAGCTCTCACCGAGTGGTGCCTCATCCTCGGACTCCTGCGACCGTGCCCATCTTTCCTATCTCCTCTTTATTTCCGTCGTTTTCTGTCGTTCGCTGTCCCTGCGCCTCACTCTCTCCTTCTCCCCTCTCTCTCTCTCTTTACATTTTAATCCTATCCTTTTAATCCCTCCTTTACCCCCCCCCCCCTCGTTAGCTACTGTTGAGGTGTCCTGAGAGACAACTATGGGGCTCACTTTTCTCTTATTTTCATTTAAGATCACTCACAACAAGGACAAGACACAGTGCTAATTACATAAAACAGATATTTCCCCGCAAATTCCACTTGCAAGCGGGGCGAGGCGCTTGATTAACAAAAACTAAATCGGTCTTTGGCTTGAAGACATGAACTTCAACCCACCTTACAATTAGTCTACTGTACATAGATTGCATTCATTGCAGTATTTCATTGAATCAGTCCAGGAAAACTTCAAGTTTACATGTACACCTTCAAAAAATAAAATTAAGAGCACTTTCTCACCAGGACAAAGACTAAGATCTGGCATTTGCGAAGAGCAGATCAACTCCGGAGAAACGGCAGCCACGAGTAAAACCCCCAAGGCGATCATATCCAACGAGTAAAAGACAAACTGAATGGCGCTACAGGATGAATCGCATTTGTTTTAAACGCACACCCACAGGATGTATCTGGTGACGTGGATGATTTTTGAGGATGCGTGCTCAGAGATTACCGGTTGCAGCTACCACGTGCAGAATGTATGCTTCACGATAGGGTAGATGAACCGCGCTTGCTTGCCGAATGTAATCGGTAAACACTCAACTGGACGCTTTTGAATCGATCGTACTTTCCCCATATGGCATCCGGTTTGCGAGGGCTGGAACCTGCTCGTACTGACGAACTGATTATAATGCAGTATTACTCAGCTGGGTGTATTCTTCCACGGGATTCCAGTGTGTACACTCTCCTATTTACTGACATTATCGGAGACATTCTACGTCATTTAAGAACAACCGTAAACTCGCCCAGATCTTTCAACTAGGGCAGACGTTGGTTCATTTTGACACACCACGTGCACTTTGCGGCTATACACTATTTATCCTGTTGTCGTCAAAGGTTTCGCGAATAGAAACTTCTATCGTATCCACGTGGTGTAGCGGGGCCAAGTATATTATTGCCAACCTTTATTTGATTGTACACGTGCATTATAACTACTACTAATAAAATACCCAGTGCTTTGCTGGAATTCATAATGTTTTGTCAAAAACAAAAGTGAAGAATTTCATATGAATGGCCTGATTGAAATATGAAAGCCGACGCATTTGCGTCACATGCGAAGTTTCACTGGCCAAGTTCACTTTCTGGGAGAGCTTCAAAGAGTTCACTTCGCAGAAATTCCGGTAACGGCGTCGTTGGTGGTCAGCGGAAAATCGGCGTTGTCCGTGAGAGGATAATATATAAAGATGTAAATAAACATTCTACAAACCTATTTGCTTCGAGTAGGAATCAACCTCAGGCCTTATGAATGGCAGTCAGGTATTCTACTAGAGAGCTTCGCCACTGCTCGGAACTGCTCCAGAAAAAAAGAACTATAAGAATATCACGTGATGCGAGGAGGTTCCTTAACGCTCGCGATGTTAAGTACCACAAGCGTATAATAGTACCAGGCGTCAAGATACGCAAATTCAACAACGAGGGGATAGTTTGGAGACCCACGCATTACTCAGTGTTCAGGTATATTCAATCGTCGCCGTCATCAATAGCATCTACAATGACACCAGCTGCGTATAGCTACGTGTTGTTTAGCGGATGCGTAGTGGGTATTTTGCAACTTGGCAAAAGGAACAATTCTGGCGTCATGAGAATTTCATAAGGGAGATTGCCGTAGACGTTATCCGACATTTTGAAACGGTCAATCTAACTCGAGCAGACATCTCTATCTTACCAGTAGAGTTCAGGTGTCCACCGAGAGGAAATCCAAGTCACCGATCGAGAGATGGCGTGAACGCAGCCAGATTATGTCATCGGGTTTCGCTCCCAAAGTGGCGCTCAAGCTCAATGTTTCTTAAAAGAAACAAAGATTTGTGACCAGTGAGCGGACTAGGTTAAAAGTTATCATGGCAATTATGTATTTGTTCGGCCTAAATGAGAACTTCTGTGCTTACCTATGCAGAACTGTGTATGCATATATTCTATTTTTAATTATTTGTTTTTAACAACCAAGTGGAAAAAGGTAGCAGTGGGCAGGTAACAGTGGTAAAAACTTCGTTTATTTTTCATTTCAATAAAAAAATAAATTCACTTGAGAGTGCGCGGACCTACGTATACACGGCCTATACCTGGGGTAACATTGCGTGATGTCATGACATGCAATAAGGATTACAAGATCACAATTGACAGTAACGGTGAAGTAAGAGTGGTCAGCTATTTAAAAGTGTATCACGTGCCAAAGGAGGCAATGCAAACTCACCATACACGGTAAAATTCAGTAAATGCAGTATTAGTCACAACAAATGTAATCACACTAAGAAATGATCTCGTATGATCCCCAAGCTGCATTTCTCAACATTATTTTTGAACACGTACTTGTTGCTGAACTTCGCGAACTACATGACGACCACAGAAAAAAAAATTGAACCTTCGCCATCATGACGATAAGAATATGGCCTAAGTCTCTAACGCTAATTGTTTGTTGCACACAAATCAAGAACCAAGATATTGTGTATGAGCTACAGATGTGGTAGTAGAGGACCTGCTTTGTGCGGAGTTGGTGAGTTCGGATTGCCCCGCCATGGTGGTCTAGTGGCTATAAGGTACTCGGCTGCTGACCCGCAGGTCGCCGGATCGAATCCCGGCTGCGGCAGCTGCATTTCCGATGGAGGCGGAAATGCTGTGGGCCCGTGTGCTCAGATTGGGGTGCACGTTAAAGAACCCCAGGTGGTCGAAATTTCCGGAGCCCTCCAGTACGGCGTCTCTCATTGGTGATTTTGGGACGTTAAACCCCACATATCAATCAAGGAGGACCTTGCATACAGGCCTAAAAAAGAGGGCAGTGACCCTGGCCCCAACAATCTGCGATTGTTCCAGTTATCGTGAAGAGTACGCTGCTCACCGATTAAAGATAATTTGTTTGACTCAGTGACAAAGTGTTGCCACATGCAGCATTAGTTACTTTCTGACAATGTTTTGTGTGTGAGCGTGTGTGAAAACAAGCCACATGGTACTGAAATACGAATGAGGGCACCGAAGTATTCTTTTCTTCGGATTACTTTCATGAGATGAGAAGGCCCGGCTGCTACGTGTTGTCGGTCCGATAAAGGTAAAAAAAAAAAGCAGCGTACCATTTACCGCCAGCGTGCCCGTCGAACTGAGCGTTGACGGATTGAGCGAAGAAACTTACACCTATCTCATAACGCCACATGCAATCACCTACCCTCTTGCAACGAGTAAAAAAGACATGACTGCAAGTGTGAAAGGAAGCGCACGCGTACTGCGATGTGTCGACACCACACACTCGACGTCATACGGCAGGACAACGCAGCTTTTTTCTGTCTGCTGTCTCCACCCACACGTCCCGACTTATTTTGCCGACGGGCGTACTTATACTTAGCACAGAACTTCGATACCGAACAAGGCGGGTGTTCAGGCAAAGATGTAGGCGTGAAGCGTTGAAAAATCGTTGAACAGGGAAGGCCACTTGCCTTCGTAAGGGCAGCAGCATTGCTTTAACGAACTAAAGCGCACTCGTCAAAACGTTGGCTCCCGTGACAATACCTGTTAACGATTGCTCAAAGCATCGAGTTCCTTACATGTATTTTAAGGACATTATAAGAAGGGAAGACCTGAAAAGTTTCTAACTGGTAACGAGCACTTTCTTGAACGGGAAGTAGCCTATAACTGCTTCACATCATTCCAACCATATGGGACAAGTAAAAGGTGAACAAACTGCGTAGCCGAACCAACACGCATTCAAGCCATTTATTAAACGTATTCTACATGAAGCAGGTATACGCTGTCATCATGACGGATTAGTCGAGCAACATTGCGCTTATACCAGTCCACGGCATGCAGGGAACTTGGTTTCGACATGCAGTTAGGCAAATTGAATACCTGCTGAAATAATGGAACCAAATACTTGTGCTCACCCAATGTCTCATGGAAACTTGAAAAGCCGTCGCCGAAGTGGAAATACATCGGTTAACACAACCTTAAGACGCGCAACACATGCGATGCCCCAATTTAGCCACTTTCGTCTAATGCGTGGCTGATCTGCTTGACATCGTCTACTGCGTCTTCCTTTCGCTTCACGCCAGATCAGATGCTCAGATCTTTTCCGTAATCACACTTGGCACTACAGCCGAGCGAGATAACCGAGCGTGATCCACCTTGTGATATCGCTGAAAGAGTAGCAAGGGTGAGCGTTAGCAAGCACTACGAATACAAGTCGACCAGTTCCTGTGTTTCGCCTCAGGTGTAATTCACAAAATACGAAATAAAAAAGACAAATAAACAAAACGAAGTTTCAATAAAATTCTTTTATTTGTAAAAACTGTGAAATACAGTAAACGTGAACACCCACATGATCCCCCATTTGTTCAACCATATCTTAGGGTGTCACCGCTAGGAGCTCGCGTGTTCCTTGAAACCGAAACCGGCGCTCACTGTCCGGGGCTTGTCGCTACAACAAAGGTACAAGCAAGATGAAAATGGAGACGCGAGCGAGTTGGCACTGACTCATTATGCCGTAAGTGTAGCACAAAAACAAAGACGAGGACAAGAAAGTGAACACCACGGGCGCTCACTCACAACTGGAAGCTTTATTGCTTCTACCGAAAATATATGTAGGACATGTAACCTTGGCACTCGAATAAGTCCCGCGCGCGCGCATCATGGGCCACGCAAAAGACAAGCAACCAAAACAAGAACACACATTCTGCAGACTCCCCCCAATGGACTACCCCCTTTTCTTAAGTAGTACCCTTCCTTTTCCGACAAGGCCATAGAAGGGCTGCTAACGTACATACCAGCCCTTGTGTTAATGTGGCAAGCCTCGGCCAGTTCTCTTGTCGCGCGATCATGGTGTTTAAACAAGATCTCCGTCGCGGAGAATTGCACGTCACACTGGCAATCGGCGCACAGTGCGTGGCCAAGTGCGTCAGGGTTCTCGTTGCAAGGCAGACTGATGCTTTCTAATCCATGTGTTCAACCTCGTGGGTGTCGTTGGTTTTCCACTGCCAACACTTGCGTTCGGCTTCCCTGCCTCGGATCGTGTCGGTGTTGCAGGCGCGACGACGCCATTCGCGAACGCGATCGGCTCTGCTAAACCTCGCAACACCGGTGACGGCCGGGTTAGGCCAAATTGCTTTGGCGCATGTCTTGGTGGGCGAAGGAGCTTCTCTTTCCGGCGTCCTCCCTCTCCCTCGCAGATAAACGAGACGAAAGAGTGTTCACTCGATCTACGCTCGAACGTTGCCAGCGGTGGAGAGGGTGGATGGTGGTAGTGGTTAGAAGATGAGAAAAGGCACCTAATTTCTGCAACCCGGTCGGGAGCACGGCGCAGTGCCTGCGGGGAAGGGAAAAGGGAGAAAAGTGGAAGGAAGAGAAAAATATTAAGTGAGCAGTGGCACGGTGGTCATCAGCACGAACAGCAGTCCGGAAGCAAGAGTAGGGGTGGCAAGGAGTCCGTCCTCAGCGGTAGGGAGAGGGTGAAGCGAGAGAGAGGTGAAGCGCGCTAAGCGCGCGGCATGGGAGGGAAAGAGTGACTTCACCACGCACTGCGAGGGAAGGCGTGATCTACTTGGCACCTCCCATAACCTACGGCGAGAGGAGCGTGGTGCGGCGCGTTGGCACGGAGACACGGACGGCCAGCATTACACAGGCTGCACAAGGAGCTGCTTCGCATGTAAAGGAAACAGCCCCGTGCTCCTCCCCAGGCTTTCGGTGTCCCCACTGTTGGCAGAGACGTCCCTTGTAGAATCTGGTCCGGCCCGAAGCATAAATAACCTTTTTTAATGCAGCTATGCACGCTTCCTGTTTATCCTCATGGAACGATGAAGATGAGCATGCGTCCATAAAGACAGATCATTCAGATAACGGATCATTTAGCGAACAAAGGAGAGGCTAGCGCGAGATACACCTCGATCTTCTAACGAGTGTGTTCAGAAGAAGTGGTTAACAATTTGAGTGCTCGGTACTCTACTATGGGAGAGCTGAAAGCCATCCTTGGGACAAAGGTACCGAACTTGCGACGGTCGACAGATTGCGACTGCGCTATCACCGCATGATTCCTAAAAAAAGTGTCATGGCTACGTGCTCGTTGCAGGCGCGGGTACAACTGTAACACGCAGCTTATGAACGCGTCTGCTTGGGTGGTTGGTTACATGCTTCAAAGCATGGCATAGCGCTAACACAGACGGACAAGCGAGAGGCAACAAGATAAGCGCTTGTTTTGTTGTCTCTCTCTCATCCGTGTGTACTAGCGCTAAGCGACACCTTGAAGTATATAGCTAACCAGCCCAAAAAAGCCTAATTGGTAAGCTGTGGTGTTGCAGTTGTGCTCGTCTCTTTCACGTCTGTGTTTGTTAGCTCTGTGCCTTATTTTGAAACGCAGCTTAATTACTACCTCTGAGTGAATACGGGTTCATCTAAGTTATGTACAATGCAGTTGATGGGCAGAAGTATTGCGTGACGTTTATCGGTGCACTGGATGCGAATCAAATACAATAGCGTGCATCGGAGTTGAATGTGGTTTCAGCAAATGCAAAGCTAAAGGTGCAACTTGTAAGTAAAGTTATCCACGCGAACTTTGCAGGTGCGTCTTGGCTCGCAGCAAGTGCTTCCTAAGATCTCGGCGTTCCGCAACCTCCCTAGTCTGGCAGTGGCATTCACTGCTGGATTTATCGTCAGCGATATCAGTGATCAACTGCAGAAGCTACTTGCGAAGTTTCCGGGTCTCAAAGAGCTGCAACTTGAGAATGGCGGCGGCATGTGCCTCCTCGCGATCTCCAGACTTTGCCCTCTCCATTAGAGCCTAAGGCTGGTCAACCGCGTAGGATCCTTGAGTGACGTCCCAGTGGACAATGACACGTTCGCTGATCTGGAGTGCCTGGAGTTGGACATGCAGATTCTGAGGGCCGTTTTGTGACGCACCTCTGTGATGGGGCTGTATTCTTGGCGTTTTTGCAGCACTGCGTTCAAAATGGCCGGTGCCTATCGTTACGGAATCTTGAACGACTGACATTGAACACGAAAGAGTCCCTGGGTGCGTTGGGGCTTCAAACGATAGGACCTGAATGACGTGGTGCATGCGTTGCCGGCTCATCGACGGGTGGAAGCAAACAGCTTCGACTTGCGGCTGTTTTTTCTAGAACTACTGAGCACCGTGTAGACGGGTGTCCCTGTCCTGGATCAATTGCATCTACTGCGTGGTGCACAGGCCAAGTTATTAGAATGTAGCGCCCTCCTTGCGAGCGAACAATGCAGCGTAGATGAATTCAACAGCCAGCGCTACGTACTGATGTGATGAACAGACTTCCGCGTTTGGGGCGATTCGAGAACGCTCATTGGAGCGCCATCGGCAGAAGTAATTCAGCTGAGAGTCGTCACAACCTTTTAGGTGACCCAAGATACCGAAGTACTGGTTGTTTATCCATTCGTGTAGGAGAATTTACAAACTTTCCGAAAACAACAGCTGCAATAATTCACCCTTCCTTATTGCTATAGAAGTTGCAGCTTTTTTAACAAGTCAGTTTTATTTATTGTGTTGGAATTGATGTGCCTTTACCAGATGTACATATAACCGCTCATTAGAAGTAGACGTAAATCAACACTCGCTTGGTTTGTGTAATGTGAGCCATTGTACCGAGTAACAAATTACACTAAATCTTATGCACAGTGCGCAATATTACCTTCCTTTTAGCATAAACTGTTTCCACTTTATTTTACATCGGTTTATACGTATCTCTATGGACAACTGCTGAGTAGGCGATATCGATTCTAATTCTTTACGGAATCCTTGCAATGTATGTAGTTTTTACTGTTGTTTCTTCGCAGGTATTGGAGCAGACTAACCTTTATTTGTAGTGGTGTGAGTTGTAGTTCTCTTCGACAGCCCCATCAGGTGCACATTCTTCACATTTCTCTACGTCATATTTGAACATAAAGCGCTGACATGTGGTTGGTCGTGAAATAAGCGAGGCAATCACACAACTTTACCATTCAGAGCCTTATTTCATTTCCCAGATGTCCTTTCAAAAGTTACACATGCTTGACAAAAATACCGGAACGCAAAAAATTTATGCAGATATACCAATGCACTGCGTCGAGTACCATTATTTAGCGCCGAACGAACTACTTTCAGAGAAATTGTGGTGTCGGTGGTGGAGTCCTTGGTTGTGAGCGAAAAATCAGCGTTGTCTGTGAGCGAATAATACAAATAAACAAAGAAACTGAATAGTCGGCTGGTATGCGATTTAAGCCTGGAACGTCGGCATTGGAGGCTTATTTTGCTGCAGATCCGGAGCCACAGCCCGATCAAATTTCTTCGAGAAAAAACGGACAAGCTTTATGCCGTACATAGATCCCCGTTAACATGTGTGATATTGCGAGGCAGAAAGGTTATATTTACAGCAAGAATCGCCCTATGTGAAGTGCCAACGAGTGTGTTGCCTAAAGTCGTATTTTTTTTTTGTCGAGACCACGTGCTAATGCGATGGCGTTAAAGAGCTCCTTTCGACGAAATCAGGGCGTCAGTGTCGTTAGTTGCGAGCAAAAATAGTCGCATATTTCCGTGACCAAAAAAATTGAAAGGTGTAAATGAAATACACAATAAAATTCTTCGCCTCTGATTGAGAATGGAGCCCGAGCTAATTCTCTATCACGGCTGCAGAACAAGCCGGTATTCTACCGAGAAAAAAAACAATATTTTGTGAAAATGTTCCGGAAAAAGACAATACATGATTGTCACGCACTGAAAAAGAGTCTCCTTGGCACATGTATTATTGCATGGCACAACCCTTTGGGTAACCTGAACTCGCGCTGAAGTTGCACCATGCGTGAAAACATGTGCATTGCAAAACTACTGAGTATTTTAAAGGAACATTCAATACGAAACGTTGAGGCATATTCAATCATGATGAGCTGCAAAATCACCAAGAAACTAATTATAATATTAACAATAAACATGAGAAGAAGAATATGTAGAATAGAAGGAATAATTGGGGTATGTGTTGAAATTTTGAGTCCCTAGCTTATCAGACTTCTCACTAGTGTAGCCTTGTTCGTATTATTGCAAGCTATTCCTCCTTCAGAGCTATTCCGTGTATGTAG